GCGGCTTCCACCAGTACTGCTGCTCTTCTCTCCTTGAGGTCTTCCTTTATCGCTTCTCTGCATAGCTTCGCGAGCTCAGATGTCAGCTGTAGTTGGCTGCGGCTTGTGCATTGGCGAATCAGCTAGTCCCGCAGCTTTTATTGCCCATGTGCTTTCAGCCTGTTGCAGACAAGATTAAGAGAAAATAATGGTGCATTTGGTACAGTAAAATAATGGTGGTGCAGTGAAACTACACATTAGAACAAACACTAGAACAAAACAACTTGCAACTAAACACTAGAACAAACAAAATACCAAACAACATGCTCCGTCCGCGCTTCCGCACGATCTGCCTCATGCCTTAGTATAGCCAAACGCTCGTTGTCTGCTTTTTGTTCTGGTGGTTCACTGCTGAGTGCGTGTTTCACTGCAGGACCTTGGCATTGACGCACACCTTAAGGATAGTACTGGTGGAGTATGACTTGTAGTAGACATCGACAGTGACTATAGTGCTTGCAGGTAATAGGTCCTAGTGAATGACTTTTTTGGAGTTCCACCACTATCACCACCATACAATGACATTACCTTCCTTGGGCGACGCTTCGGTTTTCGAGAGGGAATCCCTTCGACTCAGCCACTGAAGGTTTTGTGTGTGGATAGCTTGAACTACCTACTTTCGCCGCCGGTGAGCCAGAAAGCGAAGAAGTTCATGCATGCATCACTGAGCACATGTACTTGGTGGTCGTTGAGAAAACGCAAAAACGATACAAGTGACGTGCGGTGGAGTTATAAAGTAGATACACAGGCTATTACTCCCCCTCCCCTCGACTTCTACAAGGTATTTGTACCATAGCTGCACGGAAATAGTTGAAAACGTCTTCATTTCGCTAAGTACATAACAACCCGACAAACACAAAATCTTGCTTATCTACTTACTTACTTGCCGACACAGTGGCACAATAAGTCTGTTCTAATAGAGCGTTAATGGAATTATGTGCATCTTCAGGACGACAAGCCATATCCACCTAGTGGAGGCCATTACAATGGGGTTTTCGATTTATCGCAGGACAGCACATCTAGCGAGAAAATGGACGCTGACAGAGGCATTTATAACCAAGGGTTCAACGAAGTTGAGCGACTATCGGAGCAAATTCGCTTTGGTTAGTCTTTCGTGGAAGCAATCGAAGAGTTATAAGTACCACTGTTTGTATATTGGAACCTTCCAGAGAAATCTGGTAATGGCAGTAGTGCAGTTCGTAAACATAGCGGTCCACTATCGATGCGTTCAATGAGGAAAGAAAGCAAAACAAAAACAACACCTTTCGTGAGTTCTACGTTTTCGAAATTCTCTGATATAAGAAATGATATGAGATAAACCACTTCATAGTCGGCACACCCTGGACTACTAATAACCAATTGCAGCCTCTACCGACTGAGGCGGACCATCGCTTTCAATTAAGTGGAGCTAGCGGAAATCGAGCTGAAAGTTCCATCTCTAATGACACATTAACGACATCTTGTGAATATGGTAAAAATTCTTCCTTGCAAGAAATGCTGCCTATTCCATACAAGTACTGTTGACAGGTTCGTCGTACCAGTTACCGTCGTTCGCGTCTTCAGCTCGATCGCCTTTCCTGCCGTCGAATCTCTCTTCATACGAGACCCCAAATAAAAAGTCATCCTTCGTTTCAGATAGTGATAGGGCAGAAGATATGCGTGAGTGACGAGGTCTTTATTTTGTAAGTAATCGTTTTCTCAACGAAAAATCTCACATTGATGTGAGACTATTTCTGGCAGACCGTCAAAGCTTTTTTGGCAGTACTGTTCATGAGATTCCAATGTTCGCGATTTTACGCTTGTGCGTCGAGAGATTGTGCTATGGCATCTTTCGGCTTTTGTAGAATGTAAATCGCTTTTGCGCAGTAGTTTTGAAATAGTGCATAGAATAGAAAAGTAGTGTAGCAAGCCAACAAGCAGTGGATACTTACTGTGCATTTGTTCGTTTTGTCCAGAAACGGTAGAAAAATTTTCTCAGAAAAAAATAAACGATTTAAACAACAATCTCAGTTATTATACCAGTAATGATAAGCACAATCTGCATATGTTCCAATGTTCGGTGGATCACAAATTCTAGTTTGTGGCTTGAAACCATGATAATTTTAATTTTGAAGCTCGCAGCGAGTGTACTGACGCAAACCAACAGCGCGTCAAATTTGCGGCCGCTGTTTAATTGCTCCCATCGTACGCAGCTCGCTTTTACAGCTTATGCTGTTGGAGGACCCCCAAAACAAAATCCTTGTCACAGAGTCTAAAAGCGCAATAATCGCGCCACGCGAGGCTGCAATTCACAACTAGTGCGTAGTGATTTGCTACTCGTCGGCATCTGACCTGTAGTTGCTCTATACCGTCCCGCACCCACAATTAATGCGACTCCAGTATTCACTCGAGCTTCCGGCTATTAACTTGCGTACCGAGAAATGTAGCAGTCGGCCTATATTTTGGACCTAGCCGTGAACACCAGGTCACGTCAATGGAGGGAATCAAGTTGTAGTTTCTGTTCGCAGCAAATATAATATAGCCCGATTACAGCGCACAGTCGCAGTTGGGCGGGTCCATCACATAATCGCCATCGAGTTATGCAGCCTTCTTCTTCAGGATACACATTTGCACTGCGACAGGGTCCCAATGGTACGTTTCTATTCCAGTTAGATCTGCGTTTTTCTTACTTATCCTGTTTCATCTCGCATTGTAGATCCAAGCTCATCCCAAGTATATCCGCGAAAAAGTCGAACTGCTGTCGTCACTCCTTCATCATCGTATGACAATCAGCGAAGGAGTAGAGTCAGTCAAGTGTGAATGTGTACTATTTCGGCTGAATCATGCATCTGAATGCATTATGACAATTTCGCTGGTCTCTCCAAAAACTCCATTTTTCGCAGAACTCTTTCTAGGATATCGTAGTCAGAATGCACAGATTGCCTAAAGTGTCTTTACTCCCGGAGCCTTTCAATTCTTGCTCACACGAGGTGCCAAAAAATACTTGTATTCTGAGAGAAGATTGTTTTCATTACTGTTGTTACCTGTTAATCGTCTGAAGTTGACTTGCCATCTTTGTTAGTTTCGCAAAGTTATTGTGATTAGATTGATTCGATTTTTGCCGTACTTTTACCAAAATCCTTTCCAATTTTGCTGTTGCAAAACTTGTTGTCGAGTCCCATTCTGCAGCAAACTTTTTCCATATACTTTGCTATTTACCTGTTACTACCGAACGACTGCCCCATCTTCAGTAATGCAATCGCGTATCGTGAGCATTGAGGGAAAGAATTGCCGTACCACGAGCTCTCCTGTATTTGTCAGTATCACGAAGGCGCTTTTCAGGTTTGTGATCAAATTCCCACTCCATGGTTAGAGGAAAGTGTGATGGTATGACAAATTTTATCCGTAATATACGCAATTATCTAGTTCCAACAGCAATAAAACTTTTAGTAGTATATTAGAAATATTATGGAGAAGTCGGCCTACATTATGCGAATTCACGTCACCGCAGACGCCTGCTTTACTGATAGCCCGACGAGCGGTGAGTGCGACTTTCAATCCACTTATCTTCCAACCAGTTTAAATATAAGCATCTTGCAGTAGTGTTTCGAGAATTTGTAGAAAAGCGATGAAAAGTAGCTCGAAACGGTAAGTCGAGCCTTCATGATAAGTGTGCCACCGCTTTATACTCAGTGGAGCAGGACAAAGCAGGTCATCAAAAAGCTCGAGAGGAAGTTCCGCGTGAAATGTACTTCTATGAACATCAGCGTTTGTGATGAGAGCCAAATGACACCGGGAATGTTTCTGAATTTTGCTGCGGTACCATCAGCATTAAGAATTTTGACCTGTGCTGAACCTCATGAGGCTTTGCCTTTTTACTTTATATCAACCTCATGAAATAGCGCCTGTCCTCTTCAATTTATTTTCCAGGGCAATCTCCGCATGTTACCTCCAATGTTTACAATCAGTAGTGTGCACTGTGAAAATCCATCGGAATGTCGAACTGATAGTTCACCATAGTATGAAGCCATGGAGAATCATGTTGGCTCTCATCCCATGTATACAGGGGGGCAGAAAAAGACGCTTTTCTCCCTCGACTTCCAAAGCATAAGTTACACGTTATTGAATTCCCAATTGGACTCTCCCAGCACTTCAATAGTACATTGTACACAATCATGATACTGCGCCACAGCCTTCCGGACGAACGCCGTCGAGAGATTCTGCAACGAGACAGTGATTCAGTGAATGAGTTCAGCGAGGTCGTTGAGGTCTTCGCCACTGTAGACCACCCTGTTGAGCTCCGCTCATACTCGTTAATCGAGGGGGTTCAGGTCAAGGTGACACAGTTTTATTTTCCGTCTTAATTAGACGGAATAGAAGGTTCCAAGTTTTCCAGCTCCCTTCGATTCCATGTGGTGGCTCCTGTAACAGTACAAAGTTCCCAAGCGGTTACGGTGCGACGACATGGTAGGGGGGATATTCTTCATTCGAATGTTAGGTAAACCGCCAGCGCTCATCTTCAGTCCGGGGTCCACGAAGAAAATATCGTTCTTACCATTCTAATTACTTTCGCTCCATACCATCAACCCGCACTTTGGCGACTGCGGTGAAGATGATATCCTGAGCCGCTGCGACGTTGTCGGAGCTGCTTGATGTTTTCGGTCTTCCAGATTCAGAATGCTGGTCCCAGGTAGCTAACTGTTCAATTGGACTGAGTTTTCAATACAAGAAGTTTCGCTGCTATGTGGAAGTACACGTGAGTTCCATAAGCCTTCTCCAGCCGCACTTCGATTGGAAATGGCTTTTTTGTGGGTGTGCAATGAAGGCGATGAGCGAAGCCTCGCCGTCCTGACTTATCCTGGAACATCTTGGAGAACCTTCCGCCATGGCTATCGTATCCCACGTCTTCTGTCTGCTCGCTGGTATATATGATGTTTACTGTATTTGACTAGGCCGAAGTGTCTCTGTGCGCGCCCCCCCTGTATTTGAATTTCATCCCTTCTAATAACGATCATGGGCCAGTATCTACGCACATCTTCTTGTGGAAAAAAAATCGCAGCTAGCCAATATATAAAAAAACATTGCCACCAAATGTGGACTACATCATCAAGGTACATGTCTTCATGAAGAAAAGGAAATTTATTCGCTTCATTATGTACAATGTTCAACAAGCAAACGTGAAATATGAAGGCCAACACAACAAGTCTGTGAGATTTACACGGCTTTAATTGTGAAGTTTTACGAAGAAAACTCCATTCGTCAATATGTCACTATATGTTTACTATTGATATATCTATTTCCTTCTCAATATAACCTTTCTCTGCTTGTGCTATATTATATTTTCTTTTATACATCTCTAGCAGTATGTACTCGTTCAGAATGCCAAAGCTTCACCGTCATAGTTCTATATGTGACTTTGTCGGACAAATTTTATGTTCTGACTTTTTGCAGCACCCGCCACAGGCGTCGCTTCTCTGTCAAGACAGTTCAGTTGATGCGAACTTCTTCACTTCGTGCACTTCTCGGTGCATCCATTTTGGCTCTTCTATCATCGAAAATTTTCAAAGTGGAGTTGACTCTTAAGGTCCACTCCACAAATAAAGCACTATTTGGAGCGTAGTCTGCTTCGTGGTTCGCTTGACTGCTAGCTCTTCCGACATTCTACGCTTGAATCCTCTTTGCTGCCTCCCACCCTGTTAAAGCTACCCAAATCGGTACGTAGTGCAGAAGGTGTTACATACTGCCAACCAACGGTGCTCCGATTACAGCACTGCCTCCAAGCTGCCCAATGTGCTGCCATATTCCGAGGTGGCCAATGCCAGACACAGTGCTGCACCATCTTGGAAAGAGTACTTGTAATGTGCGAAAAAAATGGGCTGCCAACTATATGAATGTAACATTTTCGCCACTTGAGAGCGCACAGAGGGGTAATGAATGCACAGTACTGGAGTCGATACCAACATCGCAATTTATCTAGTAATACAGGTGGTAGCGTGTCGCTTTACGCGTTTCTTAATCTTCCTGCAGGTGGAGCTCCCAAATGGCGTTCAGCTACCATTACCCTCCAGCCCCGTTCACGAGCGATTTTGAGCGGAGGAGGTGGCAAGCTTCTACTACTGCAACTGGGTAACCATAGACTTCTCACATGGCAAGGAGAATTATCCAAAAAAAAGTGTACAGTTTGTCTTGAAAGAAGAAGCCGTAAAAGTCATTTCGTGCTCAGTTTCCTTAATGAGTTCAGCGAAGAAGCAACAACAATAAAATGATGCAGTTATACAGCATATACAGCACATAGATAACATAACAGAACGAAAGAGAACATGGAGGGTTAAGGCGATTTTCTTTGCATACACAGAGTAAAGAGCAGACTGCTTGTTTCTAATAAAGACCGCTTTTGTGAAGATTCTGTTGGAATGATCATTGATATTACTGAATCGAGAATCTTCTGCACTTGATCAGTGTCAGTAGCGCAAGTTTCATGCACAAATATCGTCTTCTTCGGATTCTGGTTCAACAATTCGAATCGCTGTTTTATATATTTTATCGAATCCTCGTATGTTTGTGGACCTAGAACGAATAATTAGAGTACATGTTCTCCAGTACACATTCCACACATCCCGCAAGAACGCAAAAATGGTTGGCGTCCTCATTAGTGCTCTCTTTGCATCAAATGGAGAGGCGCACCAATGAGGAAGGCCCAACGATTGTGAATCTCAACCCTTCCGATTAACGTGTAACTGTGTTTGAGGAAAAAAAATCCGACTTTCCCTCCGGCAAGAGCAAATCTTAACGCTGGATCAGTCGAACGCAAGTTTATAACAAACGGAAGTGCTTCCGAAAAATAATAAGACATTGTGAAAGTGGAACAAATATCCAAGAAAAGTTGGGATTGTGAAAGAAAAACGATTGAATGACTCCAATCTGAACACTTCTCTTATTGTATATCGGTCTCGTTTAGAACCAATCGTGTATAGGTGATTGGCTCCGATGATTAAATGCTGTGTCAACCGTTTTTAAGTCTTGCTTGAAAAGTCAGACAGAGAATGTTAGCAACAAGGATGAATAAAACTTCATTTCCCGAGGAAAAAAAACCAGCATTCAAGGGTCGTATACAGAAAAGTCGTGCTCTTAGCCGCCGGACCCGCTCAACCTTGTAACCAAGACATGCTGAGGAAAAAAGACATAGAAGGCGTATAGTGCAACTAGGACATTTTTTCGTGTTGTGTTCAATTTTTGCGATTTACCACCTTTTTCCCGTAGCTTACGTGCAATCCTACCAAATTCTACTGAAGTGTTTTTTGCCTTGCAAAGGAGGGGAAGGTGGAGACGAATCCCCTCAACTGGCAGAAATAATTGGGTCTCGCCACGACGCCAGTTTGAAGAAAAGACGGTGAGAGACAAAGCGAACGGTAAAAACCTAATCAAAAAAATTCATACTAATTACGAAACCCCGTTGTGTTTGATTATGATTTCGTGGATGCAGAGGCAGTGTGGCAACGTGATAGAAGGGAATTGAGGGCCATGGGTCAAATCCGCTGGAATTTAGAAAAACACCGCACGCGACCAACTGCTGCGTCCACATGTAAGCAATTTCTGTAACAGCATGCTCCTTGTTTTAAAAAGTAGTCCGCTCACTAACATTTTGAACTGGTTGTGTGTGTCTTTATATCAACATTTCGGAATTGTTGAAGGTTAAACTCTAGCAGGGAGGAGACCTAGCAGGAGCAGGGGGAAATAATGCACCAAACACACCGCTGAGGTTGGAGTTGAGCGTCCTGCAAATGGTTGTGAGTCAGGGATGAGGATTTCTTTCTAAACAT